ACGGGGTCTCGCTCTTGCTCAGGCTGGTTTCGAACTCCTGAGCTCAAACGATCCGCCCGCCTCGGCCTCCCAGAGAGCTAGGATTACAGGTGTGAGCCACCGCACCCGGCCGGAAACAAGTATTTTAAAATATTAAACAGAAAGCCAAATGTAAAATTTACCTTTTTTTGTTTTTTGTAGACACAGGGTCTCGCTATGTTGCCCAGGCTGGTCTTGAACTCCTGGCCTCAAGTGATCCTCACACCTCAGCCTCCCAAAGTGTTGGGATTATAGGCATGAGCCACCGCGCCCAGCCCTAAAATTTACATTTTTAAGCTAGCACCCCAATCATCCATTTTGAGCTTGCAGTGGACTCCTAGAGACATGCAGTCACTTGCCTATCTGCTGCTGGTATCTACTGTGGTAGGCAAGTTTGAGGAGTACTATTCATGAGTGTTTCTTTGACTGTATCAGTTGGGTCCTCTGAAAAACAGATGCTGAGATGGAGGAAGAAGTGCAGAAGGGAGGAGGGCAACACTTGGGGAGAATGAAAGGAAGAGGAAGACAGAGCAGGAAAAGCCTTTAAGACCTCCATGCAGATCTGAAAAAGCCCCAGCCTATGCAATAAGGAACTTTGGAGCAAAGACTGGCTGCTGAAAGCGTCCTGCTTGGGAAATGTCCAGCCCCACAGTGCTCAGCCATTGGCTGGGGGCTGCCAGGAAAGAGCCTGGCCTTGCTTGAAACTGAGGCAGAGGTTGCTGGTGCTAATAGTCGGAGGCTGTTAGCTAACCCTAGTCCTTGTGACTAAAAGGCAAGTCTTTCTTGACAGGAGATCCAAGCTCCAGTTCTGCATCAATCAAACCAGCCTAGTGCTGATAGAATGGAATGGCTCAAGAATGGGAACGGTACACTGAGGTCATCTTGGAGCTGCTACAAATTGAAAGCAAAATTTCTGTCTCAGGGTCCACAAGCTGAGATCTAAACATTCTGCTCCAAGTGGGGATCTGCCACTTAAAAGCTGTATGACTTTGAGTAAGATTCTTGATCTCTTTTGGCTTTATTTCCCCTGTCACCTAGGGCTGGTATTCTAGCTCAATGGGTTGGTGAAATAATGTATATAGCCCCACACAAACGGACTCAGCCACACAAATTGTCTTCAACACCTGCCCATCTATAAGTTTTTGAAAGCTGGAAAATAAAGCATTTCACCACTTTACATATTCCAGCTTATTTTATAAACATCCACACATTTCCTCTGTGTCCCCTTTCTGTAGGACTCACCAGCTTTGTGTCCTTGAGCAAAGGCTTTCTGCCTTCCCACCTTTAGCATTTCCTTGTTGATGTCACAGACCATGACGTGGGAACCACCCAAGGAATCCTCTTCATTCTGGTATTTTTTGGCAATTTCTTCCCAGGACAAATTTTGCTGAGCCCTTAACTGCCTCTTCTGCTTTCTCTGATGCTGTGCCTGAACATAATTAAGGAACCGGAATGCAATGTCACCTGTAGGAAACCAACAGGAGGAAAGATGCAGATGAAAAGAAAAACACAAAGGAAGAAATAGTATTTCCTAAACCAAAAGGAACAACAAAGGTACAGGAGTGGATGAGTGTTTGAAAATGGAAGTTTCTACTCATTTCAGCACTAACTTTTTTTTAAGAGATGAAGCTTCACCGTGTTGCCCAGGCTGGCCTAGAACTCCTGGGCTCAAGGGATCCTTCTGCCTCAGCCTCCACAGTGGCTGGGACTATAAACACACACCACTCTTCCTGGCTAGTCTTTTTTTATAATGTAAAAACAATTTTTGGCCGGGCACAGTGGCTCACACCTGTAATCC